CTTTGTTAAATAATCAAAGTCATGCAAAGAATGGAGAAAAATCCATTTCTGAGCGGAATAATGACACGTTTAACAATCATTACAACCTTAGTTTAGGACTTTTCTGTTCCCACGGTGGCAGAAACTGGGTGTGAGGCCGGTCATAACCAGGTCAGATTTTGTACAGGACACACAACAGGATAAATGTAACGGGATGAACGTCAGAAAATCCCCCACATCCAAACAGCCAAATGTTTTCCCCCCGGTCCGGCTAATCCCGATCAGTGGCCGCACACTTCAGCTTCAGCCCCGAATAGTTGGGCAGCGGTCTGAAGGCGAAGCTGAGCCTTTCTCACGTGCGCGCGCCTGCCTCACGGCCCCTCACATGCAGAATAAGACCTGATGGGTTCTCGTAGAAAAACATAACTTGTACAACATCTTGTATTGTTTTCTTGGGCTTGCACTCTGCATAGTCTTCTGGCATCTTTCAGAATCAGAAATCAGAATCAGAAATACTTTAATAATCCCAGAGGGAAATTATTTAATTTCCAAAGTTCCATAGGAAGATCCTGATAAAGTATTATACACATGTTCTCCTCATTATGTTCTTCTTCTGCTTCTTTTTTCCTTGTTCTCCTTTTGATCACATGATCGCTGTATTTTACTCTCATCTTTGTACGCACAACATTACCCTGTCGTTTTCATCCTTGTGTAATACTTAACCCATACTTACCAAATATTATTTCATGCCGTGGTTTTTTTATCCAGATCACCACTTTAGGTGTTGAGTTTGAAAAATGGCACAGGCAGAAATGGACTGATCCCATTCGACTGTTTGCTGCCTGTTTTGGCCCCATTCTGTAAGAAACGTCTGTTCTTGTTACTGACAAAGTGACGCCAATCGATGCTGCCTTCTTTGATCTTATGAACCAATTCAGCCCACTGAAACGGTTTCCGTGTAAATGGAGAGCCCCCTAGTGGTTTCCATTAGCTAATGCACCCAGCGTTAGTGTGTGTAGAAGCACACACTAATTAGTTGTAATTAGGTTGGTGCGTGTGCCCTGCGCCCTCATTTCACTAATGAGTTCAGTGTTGTCCATCTCCTCCGTGGACCAGGACACCAAAAGAGCAGCCATTAAATGCATCAGTACCAAAACAAGTGGCTACAAGTCTGAGAAGTGCTATTTGGAGAACACACTACACACACTTATCTGTGCAGGAATAAAAGACAGACACACACCCACCCACACAAACACACAAACAAACGCCTGTTTTTTTTTCTGCTAAAGTAATGCTGCTACATGCTGCAGTGTGTGTGTCTGTATGTGTGTGTGTGTGTGTGTGGAGACTGGAGGAAAAAGACTATTCTATTCTACATCAGCATTAGTTCAGTCTCAGGATGATCGTATCATACATTTAAGGTTTACAAAAAGTGAAATGAGCAAGCAGTTTCAAGTGTACTCCTTTATTTTACGTAAGGACGCATTCCCCCGAACACACAACATCCTAACATTTCGACATATATACTGAGGCAAAACCTGTGCACATCTCCTCGTACAGTGCAACCAAACTTCTGATCCTCACAGTGGCCTCAGCTCTTTTAGCTTTTTGCTTATGTGATCTGATTTCAAAGTTAGTGACATTTTGGAGACTGGTAAAGAAGAACATGGTAAAAGTGTGTGACCAGTGATAGTCCAGGCTATTTTACAGTTTTTAGACGGTAGGATTCAAAGAAATATCTTTTATTTCAGGTAACCTGAGGCCAGATTGTTGTCGATAGGAGAATAATGTGCCACGTCATCGTGCATATGTATAACTGATGACAAAGGAGTTATTATTTATTGTGTTGGTAAAAATCTGATAAGCGCTGATAAGATAAAGTTGTCCAGCTGATATTCTGTGGCCTTTCAAAGCAGATCAGTCATCACGTGTACGTTTGATTTATTTGTTTGGTTAAAAATTGATAAAATACTGATACAACATAACAGAGCGACATCCCACTTTTAAAACATAACCTAAATAAATTGCATCGTATTCCAAAATGGTTCATGCTCTCAACAGAAAATGTGCCCGGAACCAGGAACCAGAAAATCTGTTTTCAGAGTCAGTTCCTCTTTGTGTTTTTTGTTAAAAAATTTTTATTGAATTTTTTTTTTTTTTTAACTCCACTGGTGGAAAAAACGTATTGGTCAGTTTCCATCTTTCTTTTCCAGCAGCTGACAGATCAGGTCTGCAGGTTGGAGCCTTTTCATGGAGCTTTTCTCCGATCTAGACTGTTTACTGGCCATGTCACTGAGCTGGTGGAAGAAAGGTGTGAGCCCTCTCTGTGCAGACGCATTGTCGACCAGTTAAATGGTAAATGAACTGCACTTTTTTTAGTATTACTGACCACTAACAGTGTTTTTACACTACATCCCAGTCACATACACACACATACACACGCCCACACACTGGCCGGAGATGTGGAGTTCAGTGTTTTTGCCACGGACTCGTGGACATGTGGCCGGGGAACGCGGAGTGGAACCACCAACCGGCCGGTCTTTCTCTTTTTCCCAAAGAGCGGACAGAAAGTCGTCTATATTTTTACATAGCATTCCCACTCGTGTCTCCTGGCTGGCTTTAGCATCACCTCACACAGTGAAGCTGAGTTATTGATGACAGGAACAGGAACCCGTGTGGACGGCGACAGAGCGGTCACTCTATTGTCCCTACAGAGGTTTTTAGCCTTACACACCGTTCAGTAACACGTCACTTTGCCCTCTGGAGTAAAAGCAGTTACAGAACTCGACAGCTATCCATATTAAAAATGTTTTAATAACAAACATAACACAGAAATTAGGCTTTATCAGGGCAAGTGGTAGATAGGAGGTTCTTTGCTGAACATCTTTACCCCACCTCTGGCTGATGTTGGAGACTATAAAGCAAAAAAGAGAGAAGGAATTGGAATTTTTCTATGGCTCTTTGACCATTTCTTTTTATTCTGTCCAGCAGAGGGCAGTATTTCACTTCAGAGAGTTGCATTGAGGAAGCCAAAGGATAGAAAATCAACAGGACTGGGGATGGGGTACCGGTGTGTGTGTGGGGGGGGGGGGGGGGGGATTCTGGCAGGCCTCTCTTCCTCTGCGGTCCTGTTTTCGGCGTTTTCGTGCTGAGAAGTGGAATCTGTGTTTATCAGGGAGCATCTTTTCAGTC